TCTTTTGAAGTCACAAGAGAAAATTGTTTCAGACAGAAATAAAGCTTGGATTCAGCAAGTCAGTAGACAATTTAACATCTTGATTTAATATCAGTTCCCATTTGCATATATCCTTTCTTTCCTGTGTATTTCGAGTTACATTTTGAGTGGTAACGAGCAGTTTTTTACACACTTCCAAGCTGCTCCCATTAGGAATGAAATCCTTGGCTTGGGCAGTCTCTGCCGTTTTGATGTTTCTCCTTAAATTTTCCACTCAGTCCTGCCAGGCACCAACTTTAAAATGTCTTTTTCTTTTCTTTCTTTTTAATTTTTTTTTTAATGGAGAATGCCTCCAAAAGGTGCAGCTGTGTGTTGGTTTCATCTTGCACTTAGTGGTGTTGGCACCATTTAGAGCACACAATGCTCCTATCTCCCACACACCGCTGGTGCCTAGGAGTGTTGAGGCTTGCCCGAGTAAGTAGTTTGGGCAGGGCTTCAGTTTGGAGAGAGTCTCTTCTGTTCTGTGTGATTGGTTGTCACCAAGGCCTGCAGAGAGAGCAAACAGAAAATGCAGCCTCCGTTGAAGCATGAGTAATTTCTTCTATGACCTAGGGCTCCCTGGTTCATCCGAGTTCTTGTGAGTGTGGAAGGCAGGCTGACCCTGACCGAGTCTGCCTTTCCTTAGAAATTATACATGGGTTAGATTCTCCCCTTTCAGACCTTTTGGCTGTTTTCACATTGCTTTTTCCTTGCACAACCTTGACTGCTTCCAGTGAAAAATGATTTGGCTAAGTGAGAAACTGGGCTTGGATGTGCCAGGAAGTCCACAGATGTTTCCAGATGCTTGAGAATGAACGTGGTTCCGCAGACCTGAGACAATGCATTATGTCGAGTTTCCGAATCAAAGTGCATTCCTTTTCAGGTTAAGAATATCTAGAAAAATCACATCAAATGGAATTTATATGTAAAATTTAAAGGTTCGTGCTGCTAATTTGCGTTTTGCTTGCTAGCCCCAACCTATATGTTCTGTAGTTTTTTTAAAAACTAACTTTTGGTACCATTAGGATTTTTCAGACTATGATTTGATGATTCATCATGGACTAATCAACAACTTACCAAGCTTAGTCATTCCCAGTAATTGCTGCTTCCTGCTGGAATCTCCTCTGATGAAATCTAACGACAGATATATAGGTCTAGTGCATTGAATGGAATTCGAGAATAGTTGGGTTTCGGATTATTGAGGAAAATAACATTTGTTTTAGAATGTTGTTTAGAATTCTAGTGATAAGCCCATTGTCTAAAGCGGGCGACAGGCACTTGCCGTATTACCTGTGTCTGAATGTTTCAGAGAGGAAGCGCATTGAGTGAGAGACCTTAATACTAAGGAATAGGAAATCCTAGAATTGTTGTTCTTTTGATTGTCTCACCTTGTAGATGTTGCCTTTTAAAGTTTCGATTGCAAAATCTCGATCAGCTTTGGTGATTGACGCCTTTGCACAGTAAAGCTTCTTCCGTCTTTAAAAAAAAAAAATCAGCTAGACATTCACGGGACACAGTGCAAACCGGAGAACTCCTACTTCCTATACATGTGTACAGCGGTTTGAAAAGGCCAGTGTTCCCGCAGATGTTTGGTGGCCATGGCCATCACAGTGGCTTTCAGAAACATCAGAATGAGTGAAACAAAAGGCACTTTGTAGCTCAGGATAACCAAAGACAAACAAAAACGTCTTTGCCAAGGAAATATAGGAAAGACAAAGGAAAACAAGACAGTTCGACTCTTTTTTTCTTTTTTCTTTCTTTTTCAGCTGTAGTAGAGAGAGGGATGGAAACACCTCTACGGGTAGCCCTTGCCGAACTAGCAACTGCTGGGTGCATATTTCAATCACAATTACGTGAAATTTTTAATTATCATTTAATTTAGTTTTCATATTTGCCTGCTGAAGTGATCCTGCTGATAAGATTTTGGAAAGAGATAAACTTTATTAAGCAATTCTGATCTCAGTGCCAGTGGGTGTTGTTTTTTTTTTTTTAATCATAAAAAATACTTGTGTTATATGTGAATGAAAGGGGAATGATTTAACAAGTTAGTTGCATGAGTGCAGTGTGGGTATTCATACTTGGGTAATTACTACTTAGCCGTGGGCTTTTGGGTTTGGGGCTGTGCTGGGGTTCCTTAGCAGGAAAACACAGTACTGAGTCCTGCTTGATAGCATTTCTTTACACCACTTTTCTACCTTCCGTTTCCCTTCTAGTACGTACGTACATGGACAGGATGACCTTCATTTTGTTCAGTGGGGGAGGGAAGGTATTTGTGGGAGAGGATACTGTTATGAGCTGAAACATGAGAGCCAAGGGAAGTGGTTTATAGTTTATCAAAGGAAATGAAATGGTGTGCCCTTTGCCGCCGCTGCTGCTGGTAGGGTGTGTGTGTGCGTGTGTGTGTATGTGTGTATGTGTGTGTGTGTGTGTGTGTGTATGTGGTGTTTGCATTTCTCTTCTAGCCAGTGTCCTGCTGGGTAGCCTGGGCTATCTTTTAGCTTATGATCTTCCTGTTGTAGCCTCCCACATGATGGATTACAGGCCTATACTTCCATATCAGCTTTTTTTTTTTTAATTTTACAGTGCTTTTAGTTAAAATGGTTATAAACCTTTAATAAATACATGTATATTGTAAGCACTTTTCAAAAATGTTTCACATCTTGACATTTAAAATTGACTGATTTCATTGCTGGGTTTTTCATAGAAATCACCTACAAAATCAAACTTACTACTAACTCAAAACAGATTACTACCCCTATTCTTAGATATCTTGGTTCTAGGAATGAAGTCCTTCATCTCATCAGCCTTCTGCATAGGAGCCTTCTAGAAAGTTAATGGATAGCTACTCTACCTTTATTATGTCAAAAAGCTATGAGATGGTGGTGTCATGAGGCAGAGTCTCCCAGGAAGCCAAATGGAGAGATTTGTAGGTTATGGAGTGCAATCAGGGATGCCTTATCTTGGACAAAGATGTCTTCATTCTGGGGTCTGTGTAGCAGAAAATGACTCAGAAACTTTTCATTTCATTATCAGAATTTGCCTTTGCTCAGGTTCTCAGATTGCCGTCTTAAATGCTGTGGTCACCTCCTGCATTTAACTATTTCAGGCCACATCTGTTAATTAAACTTTAAAAAAAATCAGCTGCTAAATTTTGCAGTGGCTCCATTTTAAGTTCCCAGTAGTCATTGTATTGTAAAGCAAGCCGTCCAACTGTTTCTCTCATCACAGAGAGTGTCATTGGACAGTGTTGTGATAGGGGTTTCCTCTAGAATTTAGTTCTTCTTTCATTCTGGGTGGCTGTTGTGGTCAGTATAGTTGAGTGACAAATCCCATGGCATGGGATTCCAACAGGACACAGTGGGACCTGTAGGGGTCTTAGGAGTTTGCAAAATGACTTCCCAAGTCATACTTAGCCCTTTGAGGTCATTTAATAGCACTGCTTTTATGTTATAAATCTGTTACTATTCTGTGTTGATTCTTGGTACTTACAATGGGTTTAATTAGAATTTTTTAATATCATATACATCTTATTATAATTATACCACTGAAACCTCACTGAAACCTAATTATGGCCATTTAGTGGATTATATGAAACTGTCCTAGATAAGATGCAGGCTATGAATCATAAACACCTGAAATTATTGGATTATTGACAGATGAGCTACTCCTGAAGATATTTTCATTAAGATTCGCAACGCTGTATTTTGGAGTGTGAGAAATTTGAGGTGAAATATTTAGCTCCCTCTTCTGGCACAGTTTTGAAAAATACTTTTACTTCAGTTTTTTTTTTTTTTTTCCTTTTTTGAGTGAAAAATATGGTTATCAATCTAATATCAGAGCAAGTAACTTGTGACTGTCATTCTATTAGATATTTTTGTATCATTACAACTGGTAAAATGTACTCATAACATATGAAAACACAGTTTATTAAAGTATCATATTTCTTGGGGCTAGAGAGGTAGTTCAGTGGTTAAGAGCACGTGTTGCTCTTACAGAGGATCCAGGTTTAGTTCCTAAACCCACATAGTAATTCACAAACATCTATAACTCCAGTTCCAGGGTTTTCTTTCCTTTACAAGTTCCAGGCACACAAGTGATACATATACATATACATATACATATACATATACATATATGTCAGCAAAACACTCATACATAATATGAAATAAACCTTAAAAACTTTTTTAAGTGTCTCATTTCCCACACACACACACACACACACACACACACACACACACACACACACACACACACGCGCGCGCGCGCGCACACGCACGCACGCAGACATATGCAAGCAAAAGTTTTGATAACAATTACACAGGGGCTTAGTTTGTTGTGAGGTGGCCGGTGGTCATTGGTGTTGCCTTGCATTGATGCCTGGGCATTGACAGAACTCAGTGCAAGGGTACAAAAGAATGCCCAACTGCTAGGAGTTCAGCTCTTCAGTTACGTATCAGGATAGCACACTATCTCATAAGATTTTATCTAGTCCCGCCTACCTGAACAACAGTTCTTTCAGATGTTTGGAGAGCTCCCCTAGATTGCACTCTTAAATAGCAATGTGCCCAGGACATGGGAATGAAGGGAGCTGTACCCGGAAGCATCTCTCGATGCTCCCTGAACATCCAAGCTCCAGTCTAGCCTGGAGCCCCTCTACCTAACCCAGCCTGCACTCTGAGGTGCCCTAAGGCAGGACAGTCTGTCCTAGGAAAGAAGTCCCCGAGGAAAGACCATCCAAGGCCTGTTGTCAGGGGATTCTGGGATTCTTGGTGGGCATTGGGAGAGTGTTCTGGAGAAAAACAACAGGTATGTCCTGAGGCCCCAATAATGTGTAGTGTGGTGTAAGGAATCCCTTTAGCTCCACTCTGAGTTTGCTATGGATGAGAGTAATTGAATGACTTGTATTTAAATATTCTTCATTGTGGTCGAATGCATTTGACTGCTGCCCATGAAACCCAATGTCGGGAATTTCTTTTTTTCAGCTTTGACCCTTCCCGATCTGGCTGAGCAGTTCGCCCCTCCTGATGTTGCCCCACCTCTCCTTATCAAGCTCCTAGAAGCCATTGAGAAGAAAGGTAACCAGACTTCTAGAGGGAGTTAGTGTTTGAGACCTTCAATTCATGGCTATTAAAACTGATATGCATCTCTACGCCATTCAATGTGTGACTGTCTTACTAACTGCTGTCAATGAGGCTGTTCTAACCATGCTAGCTGTGTGGGTCTCTGTACTAGGGGAGGAACCCTGGCTGATAATTTCTAACTCTAGACCAGTAGTTCTCAACCTGCCTAACACTGTGACCCTTGAATACAGTTCCTCATGTTGTGGTGACCCCCCCCCAACCATAAAATTATTTTTGGTGCTACTTCTTAACTGTATTTTGCTACTTTTTTGAATCGTGATGTGAACATCTGTGTTTTCTGATGGTCTAAGGCGACCCCCTGTGAAGGGGTCGTTCAAACCCAAAGGAGTTACAACCCACAGGTTGAGAACCACTGTTCTAGACTAACGTGTAGTTACCATGTGGGAGCTGTTCAATTCTTCATAATTTAATAAATCTGAGTAACCTGCTTTTTAATGGCCCACTGGATTTGCCAAAAACTATTGACATAGCAGATAAAATTAATTGTTGGGATTGGCTTCCAAGAATATTTAGTACACATCTAGAGTAGGTACTGGATGGAAATTGGAATGTCCCTCTGGCAGCAGGCTCGCAGGTTCTCCGGAGAACTGTGTTTTGCATACATGGTCTGTTTTGTGTCCTAGGACTGGAATGTTCGACTCTCTACAGAACACAGAGCTCCAGCAACCCTGCAGAACTACGACAGCTTCTTGATTGTGGTGAGTGTCCCATAAACAAGGATAGAGCTCACCTTTCTGTTTCTGACGGCCCACCCCCGCCCGACCCCCACAACACTGTAAGTCTCAAAAGAGTCCTCAAATCACAGTGTTTCCTCTGACCCATTGAGTTAGCAGTGCACGCCTTGGCTGTGTGGCTCCGGAGTGAAGGTGGGAGTGTGAGCTCTCAACCTTTTCCACACACATGAGCCCCTGGGTTCTGCAGGAATTTCAGAAACCATTTCTTGGCATTCATCGGATACTATACCTCGGTCATGTTCCTTAGCCTTGCCATTGGTCACATCTCATTCACTTGAGTCAGCTGAGAAGATTCTAAGTCATTTGACAAATATCTCCTGGTGTCTTCCTACTCCTTCTGTCTCTCTTCCCCGCCCACCTGGCTTGCTGGCCTTCTTCCTTGCTCAACTGCTTACGTCTTCATGCCATATGTCCATCGCGTAACATCATGACCCTGGGAGCTTTATTCGGTAGCGTGACGCTAACTGCACTCTCTGCAGAGGAAAAGTACTGGGTTAGAGTGTTAGCCCCGCTGTGATGTAAATATCCCCACTGTGGTTGACTTCATGCTAACATGATGTCATTGAATGTGGAGTTGGGAAAAACTGAGAACATTTAGTCTTCTGAACCAGCACCAGCCAGCTCCAGCGCACCATTACTTAAGAGACACTAACTTATTCTGCCAAATGGTCACTTTAAATGGCTTCCTCTTTCCTTTTCCAGGGAAAAGTAGTAAACGCATCCCAGCAAGCAATCTTCTCATACCAACTTCTAGAATTTTTCAAATCCTTCATTCATTTATAGTATTCTTTCTTCCTTTTTTGTTTTTGTGCGTTTCTACCTCATATCATTTGCCTGAATTTGGATATTTAAATGAAAGAGTTGTACATGCTATTCTTCTTGTTCTGGACAAGGCTCCTTCAGAAGTATGCTTGCACAGGAATGCCCATCTGACCCTCACAAAGTAACCGTTTGAAGTGGGAAGTAAATTCAGGATTAGGCAATTTAGGGAATTTCTACAAAAGACGTTTCTTAGAGAAAAGACGAGACTAGATGTTTATCAGTAAGTGATTTCACTTGAAGCAAACCCAACCAAATGTCTCAACTCCAGTTCCTGTGTCTCTTGAGCTCAGCCAAGCACACACAGGGCAACATACCTCTGTGCGGATGTGCCCCATGCTTCTACCAACGGGGTCGTTAGAAGCTAACTGGCAGAAAAGTCAAGAGTGAGAGGCTTTTCTGTTTTCTACGTTTCCACCAACCTTACCAGGGTGTGAAGGAAACACTGAGTTTTGTTCTTTGCCAACTGAAATAGAGTTACATGTGTTGGTTACAAGGAAAAAAAAAGTAAAATTGAACACATGCTAAAAGTCACAGGAAACGTGAAGACATCAGAAACTGATGAAATTATGAAAAACTGTAGTTAAGGTTTTTAATGTGACCAATACAAAAGGATCCAGGTTAGCATTGGAAAAAAGTTTGTTGTTTTTTTTTTTTTCACACCCCTCATGAGATGGCGTAAACCACCAAGATTCACTCACGTCAATAATATATTTTGATGGGCAGCTTTCCTTCCCCACTGCCATCAAAACCCACACATAGAAAACTGGCACATTTTCATAGCCACAAAAGAACACACATTAAGAGTGCATTTGCAAAAAGTGTCTCCAGGTTGTAGACTTTTCAATACATCAAGTTATTATAATATCCCAGAGAAAGTTTCAGTTTCACCTGACAAAGAAAATGCTGGCTTTTAAATAACCTTGTAAATTTGCGATGCCAGACAGGCGGGACAAGCAGCCCACTTCTCTTAATACCCACTATGTCCCTTGACAGCATCTCATGTTAACCTGAAGTGTTAGTGACTCTTCCTCTCCAGCAAGGAAAGCCCAACTTAAGCAAATTCATTTAACATGATTTGTGGGAGGGCAGCAAGGCTGTGGTTTATACCCAGATTATTCTGATTGTCCCTGCCCTCCCCACCTCCTTCATTTTACCCTAAAACAAATTGCCGTGTGTGTGTGTGTGTGTGTGTGTGTGTGTGTGTGTGTGTGTGTGTGTGTATGTGTGTATGTGTGTGTCTTACTTGAATTTTAATGGTCCAAATTTTCTCCTGACGCCTTTTGGTTTCTCATAACCTGAATTGGGCTTTCTCAACCTGGCGCTCTTGATGTGTTCTGCTGATGAAGAAGTGGAAGACTGTCATGTTCACTGCAGAGTATTTTTGCCACATCCCCTACCCACGAGGTGCCAGTAGCATTCACCCCCCAAGTCACGACAGTCAAGAATGTCTCCAAATAGTGCCAGTTGCAGCCTACTCTACCCACGTGCCCTAGGAACCACTGAACCAGATAGAGATCAGCTGGTGGCTGGCTGGGGGTTGGGGGTGGGGCTTCCCAGGGAACTGGAGTCGTGAAGTATTGAAGGAACTGGTTACACATTGGTAATGCAGTGAAAAGTGAAATGAAGAGAATACTAGCTCTTTTCACTAAAGACAGCTGTGGGTAGCTAAGAGCTGCCAGGGTAGTGTTAATTCAGAAGAGGAATCTTGTATTGCACAAGTCAGAAACCCCAGGGCACATGGAAAGTCACATCACACACAAAAAAAGTAATAAAACCAAGTATACCTCATCATCAACTCCTGTGGACTTTGACATGTGGTGAGTTTATCCCAAGGCCTGCATGATGTGATTTAATTCAAACACTGTCAAGACTTGAGTGGCCCACCCTCCCTGGGTTCTTAAGAAGGTCTCTGAAATGAGCACCAGCCTAAGGGCTCCAGCCCTTAGATACCTGCCGTTTGCCTTACGTTGGCTGCTGAAGAAGGCAGGAAGAGCAGGGGAGAGGCACACTCTGTCCTCGAGGCTCCCCAAGTATGATGTGAGATACAGAATTGCCAGACTGCTTGCCAAGTCTCCTGCTGAAGGAATTGCTCATCGGCCCTTGTAGGTGCACCAAGGGGATTATGCCCAAAAAAGGGACATGTGACCCTCGAAGTCTACAGACATCATCAACGAATGGTGAAGCATACTTTTTCAGGATGAGAAATTCAGTGATTTTTTCAAGGCCAAGAGATGAAATGAAGCACACAAGGGCATTGTCTAGAGGGGCCAGAAACTTGGAATATTTTTGGAGTTCTGTAGTCTTAACTGACACTATATAATTTCACTAACAATTACTTAGTTTCAGGCTAGACCCTTTATGCAAAGGCCTAGTATGGCCTTGCACACTTATTATAAAGTGCTGTGTGTCTGGTTAGCTCTTTAGGATATTTAAGTGGCACAGCGTTTTGCCACCTTATCCTTCAACTTCTATAGTTTTTTCCCCTTTCCTGTCTTATGTGTAGTGTATACCAGACTGATTTTCTGAGAGGGTAAAAGTGGGATGTGATGATCACTTACATCTGGCTACTTGGTGGAACAAGTTTTGCTTAATGTAGTGATGTGTCCGAAGAATTTTTGTACCTTAGTCTCAGCCTCGATTTACCACAGCTTCTCAGTGTGTGGGTCATTTCCCATAAAGGGTCGAGTGCCTGCATGTGGTGGTCAGGAAGAATTTGGAACAATGAAAGGTTTCTGAACCAAACTTTAAGTCAAAACCAAACATGGAATAGCCTAAGACATTTTTGGCAGCATTTACCCATGAGCCCTCCTTCACTTTCACTGTGTCAGTCGTTCTGAACATAAAACCTTCACACCTTGCGCTGTGTATGCTGTCTATGCCATGCGCCCCCCGCCCCCCCCCCCCCCCCCCCCCCCCCCCCCCCCCCCCCCCCCCCCCCCCCCCCCGCCAGCTCAGGTTCAACACCGTTGTATGGTATGAATTACTTTAAAAAGTTTCCTGCTTCATAGAAACACTACAATTGAATTATGGATGACTTTGACATGAATTTTCCTATTATCCCTCTCAGCTTTTGTATCTTTAGGATATTGGCATGCATTTACGCACACATACACACACACACATATATATACCACATGCATACATGTATGCATGCACACATATTAGAATATCTTTGGATTGGATTGTATAAAAATGTTTGATTGTGAAAACTGTTGTTTTTGATTTGAGTTTCATTAAAAAAAAAAAGTTACAGAAATTTTGGATGAGGTTAGAACAGAATTTCCAGAAAGTTTTGGAATGACTCTTGACGTAATTCTGTCATTTTATATCATGTATTTATGCAAAGCAGCATGCCCCTATTCACAATTTTTAAATAATAATATTGATTACCACTGAAGGTGCTGTGTATCTCACAGTATCAAATACTAAACTAAGATTTCATTCTGTGGAAGAATAAACAAGGAAATCACTCATTAGTAGGCAAATTAGCCTTCACCTTTAATCAATGGTAAAATTATATGTGTACTTAAGAATACTTTTAAAATAAACTGATCTATAATTTCAGTAAGTATTTGCTTTGTGTGCCTATTTTCCATATTTTGGGTCATATAAAAATTTCTTGGCTACAAAGAGATCATGAATAGGCAAAGGTTTTCATTTGTTTTTTTTTTTAATTGATTGGGGAAAAGTTTAAAGAGCTTACTTACAGTATCCATCTTTCAGGGATAGCCTAAGTACTGGCCTTTCCTTCTAGAATCATTGTAACATGACTCTGGTGTTTTCTCATCTCCTAGACATTGCCTGATCCAGCCATGCACTGAGTTGTGTAATTTCTTTATATTATCTTGCTCCTTATATCTCCTTCACAGAAGAACCCTCAGTGCCATAACTGGAGACAGTAAACAACATGTAACGTCAGTCCACCTTCTGAGCACACCCTCCCTAGATAAGTCTCCTCACGCTCCTTCCAGCTGCCAAATGGCTGTCTTTTATGGATGCCCTCGGCCATTCTTGCTCTTGGTGCCCTTGATTTCTATTGGACCTCATTTCCTTTCCTATCCCAAGGACTGAGCTACATACACCTTATGTGTGCAGAAAAGTGCTTTAGATTACCGTTACCCCTTTACTAAATGGCTTGACCTCCTTTTTAGCTGATGGATTTATCAGAGAAATTCGTTCCCCTTCTCTTTGTTCTGAGCTAGTTGGATGCTCACAGGTTAGATAATGACAGCATTAGGAAAAGCTTTCTGGAACTGTTTAGATTATTCTACAGGCAATCTTGAAATTGATTGCTAAAATGCTGTAGTATCTTGATATTTAGTTGAGCATTCTGTTAAGGTTGAATTTTATGTAGCATTTACCAGTTCAGATTTGAGAAAACCTGGAATTTTCATTTCTCATCTTCCTATTGTGGTACGAGGAAACATTGGCTATATATATGTCAGACCCTTCTCAGTCTGGGCAGAACTACTCCCCAAAACTGAATAAAATTTATTTCTCACACAGCCGTAGAGGCTGGACATCCAAGACAATGAAGGTATAGACCTGTCTGCTTTCTTTGAGGCCTCTCTTGGCTTTCCAACAGCTGCCTCTCAGTGTGTCTTCACATGGCCTTTCATTTGTTCATGGAGTCCTGGTGTCTCTGTGACTTTATCTTTTCTTATATCGGACTTAGGGCCCACTCTGACAGCCTTGTTTAACCTAATCACCTCTTGCAGGATCCATCTCCACACAGTGTTTCTGTATAGAGCATTGGGGCTTTGAGTTTCAACACAGGTACTGGAGAGGGCACTAACTTATCAATAACAGTGGCATTATTTCTTGTTGCCCTAAGGAATATGGTGCTAGCCCAATAGCAAAAGGCTGGGCATGCTGAATGCTTCTAGTACATGAGACAGAGCTACACAAAGAAAAGCCATTCTGTCCCAAATTCAGGAACTAGCCCTATGAGGAACAGCCGCCACCACGCCATGGCTTCGATTTTCCTCACATTGCTTCCTTCCCTGTATCTTTTTTTAAGTCCCACATTTGGAAAATTGGCCCAACAGAAGTATGAATGCCTGAAATATTTCTTAAATTATTTCTCTCATAGATGCCGCCTCAGTGGACTTGGAAATGATTGATGTACAAGTTTTAGCAGATGCTTTCAAACGCTATCTCTTGGACTTACCAAATCCTGTCATTCCAGTAGCTGTTTACAATGAAATGATGTCTTTGGCCCAAGGTTGGTTTTATTTTTTCAGACCTCTCTGAGCAGATACTGACATGTAGATATGCTTGTCACTCTGTGAAGTGCTGGGTATAAGTAGAAGGCATTGAGAAAATTCTAAGCTGTCCCCCAGTGCTTTGCCACCACCCCGATTCCCTCCTTAGCTGCACAGCAACCAGGCATAGAAGGGACTTGGATTCCTGTTTGCTTAGAAGCCTGCCCATGTGTTGAACTGGCTAATTAACTTCTGATCACTATCTGCAAAGATCACTGCAGATGTGAAGGTCATGATTATTCAAGCACTGGCCTCAGACTCAGAGACCCAGGACCAGAATGCATGGTGAGAAATATTCTTGCCCTCTTCCCTGTACACCCAGAACAAAATGTATTGAGGGTGGAGCACTCAGCATCAGCAGCCGAGGCTCCTCCGTTCAGTGCTTTGGGGACAGGAAATTGTGGTTCGTGACCTTCAAAGTTTAACCTGTGATACTTATCTGATGCTCTGAGGAAGTAGCCAATCATGCTTGGTGCTGCTTGATGGAGGCCAGGCTTCTGAGAGCACACCCTGAACATTGTGGTTTTTTTACAAGAAGAATGTCTTGCATTTCATTTGGCTGGAGATCTTTACTTTCTCACAATGCATTTCTTAATAAGAAGGACGAATGTCCTCAGTACCTCTCCTGAAGATTTCTCTATGGGCCTCCTCGTGTAGCTAAAGCAGAGACAAGAAATGGTTCAAGCATTGGCTCACTGGCACCTTTACATCGCCTTACTCAGTTTCCTGTATTTTTTTTTTCCATAACTTGTAGAAGTACAAAGCTCTGAAGACTACATCCAGCTGTTGAAGAAGCTCATTAGGTCGCCTAATATACCTCATCAGTATTGGCTTACGCTTCAGTATTTACTTAAGCATTTCTTCAAGCTCTCTCAAGCCTCCAGCAAAAATCTTCTGAATGCAAGAGTCCTCTCTGAAATTTTCAGCCCTGTGCTTTTCAGATTCCCAGCATCCAGGTAAGTGAAACATGAAAAGGAGATTTGGGGGTAGGGGGTATGGAGAAGGGTGTGATGAGTGGCCCTAATGGTTATTTAAGGGTTATCTAAAGATACTGGGTCACAGATGCACATTTTATGTGGACTTGCTTTACACCCCTCAGTAGAATGATGAATGGATGGAGACAGTACTGTTTTTAGGAACTCTAGTTCTCACAAAACCCTCTTTATTGCAGCTCTGATAATACTGAACACCTCATAAAAGTGATAGAGATTTTAATCTCAACTGAATGGAATGAACGACAGCCAGCACCAGGTAAGGCTTTGTGACGTTCGACATTCACTTAGCTTTTGGGGCCTTTTCTTTGTACTTCTGCAAGTTAAAAAAAAAAAAAAATACAAGAAACAGAGTAAGTTTGTGTGTAGTAGATACCATTGAGCCAATGCTTGAACCATTTTGTTCTCTCTTCCTTAGCTACAGAAAGAGGCCCATATAGATAGAAACAGTGGTTTCTATTTCCTTTGAATTAATGCAGGTTTCTGGTACAGTTGTAACCCATAGTATTATGTTAATTTATGGTTCACAGAAAAATAACAGTGGTAGTCTATGTGGTACAGTCAGATGTCAGCTCTTGCAGAGTTTAAGCTATTTTGGTTTTAGCCTTTTTTTTTTAATTTTTTTTTTTTACTAGCTCAATACAAGGTCTCACCATGTAGTTCACACTGGCCTTGAACTCGCTTTGTAGCAGGGGTTGGCCTTGACCTCAAGCCTCCTTCCTGCCTCTACCTTTTTGCCTTAGATGAGCACTGGGAGAGCTCCCTGGACCCGACACCTCTTAGGCTTCAGTCTGCTGAATAAATTTATGGAGTTTGTTTTACCTGTTGACTTCTTTTTTGGTTTTTCTAATGCTTATAAAGCGGGGGGATTTATAATTACTATATAATTTAAAGTATTTTGGAGTGTGTATTTTGGAAGTGACCATGCCGCTAAACGTCTGTCCAAACAGACACTCTCAATAACACTGACAATATGGAAGCAGTGTTCACTGAACTTGTTAGAGCAAGCCAGAGGCCTCTTTGAAAGCAGGTGGTCTTCGAACCGTTTAACAGGGCAGAGTGTAGAGGACTCCCCTAGAACAGCAGCTTTTCATTTAGAGAGTCCAGACAGCCTGTGATCAAGTAGCAGTTAGCACACAAGGCTGGTCATTTCGATGACTAATCAGCCCTTAGTAGGTGAGTGTAGGTGCAGGGCCAAGAGGAAGTTTTGCTTGCATCCTTTCTGCCCAGCCTTTTAAACTGAAGCACCCTGTTTCTACTATCTGCAATGGGTAACACTCATGCAGATTAGCATGGCTGTGAGCAGCCGCTGGGACAGAGCAACAGACTGTGCTTTTCTGTCAGTCACTGCCTGGCCCACTGTGTTTCTTTGCATCTGGAGGCAGCAGACGGAGAGAGGGCTTGGCCTCAAACCCCAGCCTGAGATGATTGGATATAGATGAGCACTGAAGATGCAAGACTTGGGAAGACTGGCCCAAAATACTGTCCCTAGTGAGAGAATGATCATAGAGGAGGCAAGCAGGGTATATTCTAAAGGTTCCAAACCACAGCAAACAGCATTTAATGGGGATGCCCAGAGCTATAGACAAGGGCACTGAGGAACCTATCTGTAAGCATTGCCTGGGACTTCAGGCCAAGGGCAGCACAGAGGTTTGGGCCCATATGAATCTGCTGGATAGTGGATTCAGGAGCCCTGGGTTATGTCCAGGAGCCACCTTTGGCGGTAATGGGAAAGGAGGAGAGTGGGGAATGGATGTGGCTGTGAGCCATAGACTAACCACACCGGCTAGGAAGGAAGGGAGGTACCAAGAATAGGCAGGCCCCAGCCAAAGCGCCCAGCTGCAACTGTTCACTTCCTCCTGACTAGCATTGAGAGACACCCTGGAGAGGAGGCACAGCTGAGCTTTGTTTGCCCTGAAGGACTTAGAGTGGGTAGGGGTTGAGAGGAGCTGAGGAGTTGGTCATCCTGGGTTCTCAGTAACACCCCCTGGCCTCATCAGGCAGGAGACATGGAGGCTCAAAGCCAGACAGGACTTTTACAGATGAATTGATTACTAAGGGCTTATTTGTCTGATTGGGGGGGTTGGTGGGGGCGGGTGTTCACCACTGGAGTTTAATGTAAATGGATTAAATGTCTTTTATAAGACTGACTCATAAAAGTAAGCATGTATCATCATCAACCATTTTCATAATGTGGCCTGATACACAGAAGAGCACTCCAGTCCCCCACATAGCAATTGGTATACTAATTTCAGAGGAGGATTAGTTCCGTCAGCTCTGCTGCTGAGAAATGACAAAGATTGAACGTAGTGGATTGTCCCAGTATTTGTGTAGGCCCTTCACCAAAAAAAAAAAAAAAAAAAAGAAAGAAAAATAATTAAACCCAAGTAATTCTTAAGCCCTATCTGAGCCATTTGCACGTCATGTGGTACTTCTCAGCCACCCTGAGCATCATCTAGGTCCCTTAGGATTAAATGGATGCCTCAGAGTGTCTCACTTCACTCTCCACCTACAAGAGGGTAGAGGAAGGAAGGCACCTTCATCCTGAACACCATTGGGCTCCAGGATAGCTCCAAGACAGTGATTGGCAGGGCATCCCAGGAAAAAGAAATGACTTCTTCAAACCAGTGGGAATCCAGCGCCTTCCCAGAGGCCTTCCCCACCAGCCAGCCCAACATGCCAGAGTCCTCAAGGGCTTTGGAAACTCACCTCCAGTGCATCTCAAGTGAATGCTCATAAATCAGTCACTGATAGAAACTGCCGCTATGAACAGAAAGGAGTCTTTGAAGGACCCTTAAATGGGGACTACAAGGAAGTGTATGTTGTGGGGCAGATAGACATCTTCTCTGAGTTTTATTTACCAGGTAGTAGTTAGAATGAAAAGGCAAAATATCAACTTAAATAAGGCCTGTTAAAAACATAGTGCCTAAATACTAGCTGGGAGTGCCCTTCTCCTAAGACAGAGCTTTAGAGGTACAGTTGGTGACTTTTTAAGGTAACTGAGTAGATAAATAATGGAAGAATACACCTTGAAAAGGGCCTTGAAAACAGGTCCAATTTTAACTGGAGAAAAGGAAAATGGCATTTTGACGCAGATGGACAGCAAACCAGCTAATCAAAGTGTTTTAGGCTGTTTTCTTTAGGTTGTGCCCACTCAAGCTAGGACATTTGTACATCACGATCTCTTAAGAATGGGTTTCTCCAAACTGGTCCATCAGGCACCGATCCAAGATCACATTTTAAGTGACAGGGTTATAAGCTACCACTGGGACCCTGAAGAAACGGAGATGAGAGGCTCACTCTTTGCTACCTGACCAGTGTATGCCACAGCTGGGTCTGCCCAGGAGCTACCTTTGGGTCCGGCCTGTCCTCTTTGTGATCTTTGTATGACTAAGTTGTTGGAACCATCTCGAACCATGGGGCTGTTTTCAGTGTCCACTCAAAAAGCCTTCTGAGGTTACCAGAATGTAAGGAGCTAAAAATGAAGGAAGTAAGATCCTGTGGACAGCATAGAGCAAAGGGCCACAGTGCCACGTGGGTAGGTTTGGGGACAAGGCCCCATCAGATGTACAGTGGAAAGAAGAGTGGGTTGCTCTCCCAGGATTGTTAGGATTAAATGAGCTTGGTGGGTGGAGTGGCCGGGATGTCAGTGCCACGCCCCCTGACAGCTTGCCAATGTGCCTTTGTACAGTGCACAAAATGTACGACCGTAGACAGCGTCCCCTGTGTCTTCCACTTCATGTGTGTCCCAGTAGGTCCCAGTGTGCTTTCTGAGCAGGTTAAAATGGCCCATTCACTATGTGTGTCTTCATCAGGCCCTGTTCCCTTACCTTTAACTGTCCTGTGTTTTTTTTTTCTTTTTTTCAAAACTGTGTAATTAGTTTGCCTACATTTCTAAAAGGCAAAGACAAAAGCAATTTTTCATTTTGATCCACTCCAGTTACAGATAGGAGCACAGACTAATAATTTTCCAATGATACACATCCATTGATAAACTTTGGTTTTCAAAGAAATGTTAGAGACATTTTGTGCATCCAGCAGCCCTTTGAGGTAAAGATTCCTTGTGTTTACGGAAGGAGGTCCAGATGTGGGCAGGTGATGTGGACAGTTTTTTTCCAGAGCTCTCTTGTTAACTTGCCATTCCCTCCACTATAAGAAATCCTTGATATAGTTGAAGATGAGCAGCTGGCTTTCTGGAATTCCTTACACTGCCCAGACAAGGTGAACTAAGCTGACCTCGACAGGGCAACCGCCGTAGGAAGAGATCCAGTGAACCCAGGGTACCTCTGAATAGCACCCATGATTTGGATTTCATGGATGTATTCAGAAACACTAATGTGGCATAACTGGAGTCTCACTTTGCACCCTCAAGCCTGGAGGAAGCAACAAGTGACTTTCTCTCCCTGCCCTCCTACACCCGTCCAAGTTAATTTTTAACCACTGATGCATTGCATCCCTCTTGAAGAGCTTAATTCATGCATCTTGTTTGGAATACTCTGCCCTGGGTTTTCAGCTGAGACGTAAGCAAATGCTAAGGCAGAGGGAAATAACTTTCAGAGTTTATGCTTCTCTCTCTCTCCTTTTTCTTTCTTTCTCCCAGTTGGGTTTAAAATGTGGTCTGACATAAGTTGTTTCAAAGGTAAGGAACGAAACTTTGAAAAAGATGCATATCCTGAGGTGGAGGTGAACAGGGGGAGAGCCCAACTCCATCTCATTAAAACTAGCCAGTTTTACTCAAGATCTACTACAGCATTGGGAGCCTTGTGCCTGTGCTGGGGGATGGTTTTACTTTTGTTCTCATGGCACAGCCTTCTCTGTCTCTCAAGGGACAGGATGGGGGCGGGGGAGGTGGCAGTAATCACAGGGGAAAGAGTTCCCCTCTCTGCTAGACAGTGGGCGGGCCTTTGCAGAAAGCCTGTAGCCCGTGTCTGGCTTTTTGCATATGTAAACCTGGGTTTGTTTACTGACTGAAAAGGGTGTCCTTCCTTAGTGTGTGTGGTTCATTGTGATCCCTGAACATGGAGTTACAGATTTGCTTCATACTGGATGGCCCTACTTTCTAAGTTGTGGTACATTAAAATTGTGAAGGAACATGTTCCTTTTACCCTAGATAACTGTGATTCTTTAAGTTTCTTCTGCTGCCTCCTTTTTCATGTTTTTTGCTCATTAATAGTGGCACACGAAAGCCATTGAGAAGCAAGCTTTCCAGGTCTCAGGCTATGGCTCACTTGATGCCGGAAGAGGACTTATTCAGGGCAG